AGTATGTTCTGTGTAACTTGAGAAATTTAGTGACTCTTGCACTCAGAGTACCAGGAAGGGGCCACTGCATAGAAGGTAATTAACGTAACTTGGGTGTGTTTTTTCCAAGCCTCCATTGAAAGAAAATCTGTCTCTGTTATGTAGGGTAATCTGGACAAATCTGATTTTGTAAGTCTATCATCACTTAAAAAAAAATGAAGATGGAACATTTTGTGTTTTGTATGAAGATACTGTCTAAAAAGATAAAAATCAAACGCCAAAATACATAAGATTCTTGCGTGTATGCACGAGTGTCACTCGTAGGAAATTTGGAACTAGAATTTCAAGATGCACAGTGATGATCTAACATGGTGATGATCTACCTAACATAGTCCTACATGATGATTGTTTTGCCTGATTATCTGGGTTCACCGTATGGTGACTGACAGGTTTTAAATTTTAAACAGGTAACACTTCCTACTAATATGTTTGTGCATTGCACTTATTTTCATGAATTTCACTTTCTTGCTTTTCTCACTGATTCTTGAAAGTGGATTGTTGTGTGTATATGTGTATAGGCACATGTGCAGGGGGGGTTTTAAACATGAAGAGAATGTAAAAAGTCATGGTCACTCAAGAAGAACTAGGTTTGCCTTTTTCCTTGTGCCAGTATATTGGACTATATGGTAAGCCATCCATGGAATATATTAAAATAAATATTTGCATGGAAACTGCAGTTGCTTTATTAATGTGTGAGGGAGCTCCTTTTTGAGTGAATGTAGACTCTTATTGTGCAAACCATACAAATTCATAGTTATCTGCTTCTCATACTGTCTTACACCTCATAAGAACATGCAATGGGGTGAAATGTTTGCCAGGAATTTGAGTGCCAAGTGTTTCTGGTCTTCTTTCTTATTGGGCAGATGGCCCAATATGCATGTAGTTAGAAATGGGAATATTCAACGGAAGCCACTTATCAGTAGTTTAGCTTGCAATGTATACTGCTCATAATAGCGAAAGGCCTCTTCCAAGGAAAATAACAAAACTTACTCCTCCTGGACTAGCTTATCTGTCCTTGGTAGGGTTGATTCTGATGTTGCTGTGATGGTCCAGGAAATATGTGCAAGGTATTTTTATTGGACCAACTGTATGGTTGGGATAGATATAGGTAAGCTTTAGGGTATTGAAGCACCCTTCCTCAGGCCTCTGGGGTGAAAGATGTAGCAGATGTAATATAAGCTCTTGTAAAACTCTGTATGTAAGCAAAAACACTGTAAGAGAAATTAGGTAGGCAGGAGAGATTCAATAAAAACTCAATGAAGAGGGAGCAGGATTGTTCAGGAGGGTGGTTATCACCTGTGCAATGCAGAGGTTAGTGAATATGAGGTAGGTTATGATGGGCCATGAAGTCATTGTCTGTGTTAAGTTCCTGGTATTTAGTTTTCAATAGGCTAATCATTTTCCGTCCTGAAGCTCCTCTTTTATATAAGGGTGTTGAGTAGCTTTTTCTTTGAGCGCACACATGGTGAGGAGTGAGTGTTTTGGTCTCTTCCCCCCCCCCCCCCCCCCCCTTTTGTGTTTTTCTTACCTGTATTTTAGTGTCTTTCTCCTTTACCTTTTTCAGTGTGCATTCATTCTGGTACCTAGTAGGTTTTTTGTGGTGGTGGTGTTGTTTTTTTTCCTCCTCCTTTTACCCACACAATTGCCATGAGGGCATTTGGTGCACTGGATGAAGTATACCACATTCTGGTCATAAACATGTGCATGATCCATGGCTTTTGATTTGTGGCAGTAGAGATGTCTTGTATTTATTGTTAAGGCAGGCCTGGGTCCTGCTAGGTGCTTGCTCATCAACAGGAAATTTACTTATGATTAGAGACTTACCTAATTCACAGAGGCCGCCCCCCAGATTTCACAGGCAGGACATGGGCCCGGGCAGCCATTTTGCAGGCACAGCGCTGTGGCTCCTGCACACCTCTGGTTGTGGGGCCACAGGACAGACAGCCCTTGCAGCCAATCAATGATGAGTGGCAGCTGTCTTGCCTGCAGTGCTTCAAGCGGTCAGTCCCTGTTTACCCGCTCCACTGGGCTGCTGTATTTTCTTTTCCGTAAGTTTCCCCCTTCTCCCCCTCCTGGATTTTGCAGGCATTGCCTGGATTTCACAGAATCTGCAAAAGCAGCGAAATTGCAAATTTTGTAGGTTCTACTTAAGATAAAGAGTTGGGCAAGGTTAGGGAACTGTTGGTGAGGGTAGGGGGTCTGGAAAGTGGGGCTGGGAATATTTCCCTCAAGGTCTGGTCCTTTTTCTGTTAGAGGTACACCAATACATCGGTTTGGTATCGGATCAGCACTGATATAAAGCAAATTGGCCTGTTGTGGCTGATAATTTGGCCAGTAAATGCCAGCACGCAGGCAGCAAGGACCAGAGCCCAGCAGCGTGGAGAGCTGCATGCAGCTGGTAAGTCCGGTGTGGTGAAAGGGGAGAAGGGAGGGAAGGGCAGAGGAACGCCCTTCGCGGTGAAGGAGCAGTGGGCTGGGGCTGGGATAGGTGCTGCCCGGCCGGGGGTGGGGGCGGGGCATGTGCCCCTAGATCTGTGTAGGGTGAGCTGCAGGCTGGGGCTGGGGGGTTGTACTCCCAGCACCTCTGGCTCCCACTCTCTCAGCACAATGCAGCCCACAGCTGCAGCCTGCCTGTCCCGCTCCATGGAGATGACAAGCCACAGCTCTGTCCCTCACCCGCCCTGCTCTGCCCTGGCTGGGCAGTGCCTGCCCCAGCCCCGCTCCTCCCTCATCACGAGGGTAGTTGATCTGCCCCCACCCCGCTTTTTTCACCCCAACAGACTTACCAGCTGCACGCAGCTGTATCGGAAATTGGATTGCTATCGGCCAGTATGCCTCCTTTAAAAACTGGCTATTGGTACTGGCCCCCAAAATCTCTATCGGTGTACCCCTATTTTCTGTCCTTGTCATTGTGTTTGCTTATTTTAAAAAGCTACCTTTTTGGAACAAATTTAGTTCTAGTGCTCTTGGGTCTATCTGAGCTAGTATTAAGAGTACATTTTTCCCTCTAGAGAGGCCTATGATCCATAGCTGCACCAAAGTGTGCAAACTGCAGTACATGAACAGATACAGTTTTAGCAAACTATTATTATTAGTATTATTATTTTTACCTGATAAATTGTATGGTAAGATTTCTTCCCCCCCACCCCTCCACGCCCCCCCATCTGGGCATTTGCTTTGTCAAGTTTATGAGACTCTAATACAGCTGCCTTCCTTCCAACCCCACCCCTCCTCTGTCCGTTTCCATCTTCCAAGACAATTTTGTCAATGTTGGCTATTCTCAAATGCTTTAGAATAGGGCTGTCCAACTTCAAAGCAACTGGGAGCCATGTGCCCCCCAGATTCTACTTCATGTGAGAAGCATTGTTGGGGCCATGGGCCCCTCAGACTGCATGCCCCCTTGCATGTATGGAGGTGGGCACCTCCCCCAGCCCCTGTACTGCACTATGCATGCAGGTGGGCATGCCCTCATGTGGCACGGAAGCCTGCCTCACCTTGAGCTCCCTGTGGTGCTGCACTGCATGAGTGCTCTGGACTGTTGGCTCCCCCAGCCATACAGGTTGTGCCCCTCCCTTGGATGGAGGCATGCTGAAGCTGGGCAAGGAAGATGGCTCCAGGACCCTGCAGCCAGAGGAATAGGGGCAGTGGCAGGTGGTTGAGTCCTGCATATTAACCCCTTACAGGTATGTGGCCTCCCCTGGCAGTTGAGTTGTGCTGCTATAGAAGACTAATTGATTAAGGTGGATTTTTTTCTCCCAAAAAAAGTTTGTCATTAGGAAATACATTGTTTTCAGATCTGTATTTCTTTAAAGAGAAACCTGTAAAATATAGTAAATGTGCAATTGAGAAATCCTTCCATGAGTATTAAGCCACCACAAGTCGTACTGACAGAGAGAAAGTGAAATTATTATATGCCCCAACATACTTGCAGTCACCTTCTAAAAGTAACTGAAATGTATTTTGTCCAAATGTGTATTGTCACATGACTGACAATAACATTGTTTTAATAACATTTTAAAATTTGTAATTCAGTGGCAATTACTCTTAAGTATCTTCATGTTTAGTTGATAGTAACACGTGTTAGTTATTTTGCTTGTCAAACAATCTTACATTTTTTTTTTTTTTTTTTTTTTTTTAAGGAGAGGAATAAATATTCCTTAGAACGATGTTTCCTGATTCTTTTGACTGATAGACTGCTGTCAGCTCTCTGGCTTAACTTGCAGATGACCATATACCAGTAGCACTACACGTAACTGGCCCTAAGGGCTGCATGAGTATTGTGGGGTCAGTCCATGGACTAGATCCTGTGTGTGGGGTCAGTCTGCAGGCCTGATCCAGCCTAGTGGTGTGCAGGGTCAGTCCATGGTTGTGACCCTGTGTGGTGGCCCATCCTTACATGCTGATGTGATCTGGTGCTCAGGGCCATGTCATCCCCACAGGGGTTCCCATGGGTCCAGAAATTTGGCAGAGGGGGAACGATGACAGAGTTAACTGCTATAGCTCCTAGTGCTGTGGCAAACGATTAATGCTACCACTGCAGCCAAATTTCCAGACCCATAGGGAGCCCCCCCAGGCTAGATGACCGCTCCACAGGCTGGATTTGGCCAGCAGGCTGTAGGTTGAGCACTGCTGTCATACTCCATTATCTTAGGGGCTGCTAATTGGAAAGGTGAAGGAGGACCTGGTGTAGGAGGGATTCATGGATCACAGTTTGCAAATCATGGCCTTATAAACCACTCTACACTGCAGTACAATGTTTACTTAATTATAGAAGCAACTTGTTAAAGTGAATATCACTTAATCTTTTGCTAAAATGTGCAGTTACGTCAACAGACTTCTCTGTAACTTGTGACCATTTTTTTTTTTCATCTTAATAGCAATACATGCACACAGTGAGAGATGGTTAGCTGCTTTAGTCTGAAGTCGGGCAAGAAGATGGGGCAGGATGGCTGGCACCTTGGAGATGAACTGGTTTGAAAGGTCTGAGCCGCAACATACTTTGTCAGATGTTAACAGTCAGCATTTGATACTTGACTTCAGTAGATCCAGTATGTAGTATGGAGTTACTGGATATTTTACAAAGTAGAGGTGCACCAATAAACTTTTTTTGGCTGATACCGATGGTGGATTAAGCAGTCATATTGGCCAGTACCAAACCGATTGCAGATATGCAGCCTGGCAGCTTGGAGAGCAACGTCCGGCCAGTAAGTCCGTGGGTGCAAAGCGGCTTCAGGGAGGGAAGAAACATTGGGGGGGCAAACTGAGATCCTCACAGTGGGCAGGAGTAGAGCAGGGGCAGGTGCAGTCCAATTGGGGCAGGGTGTGGCATGCGGTGGAGCTGCGGGCGGCTCCCAGCCACTGCACACATCCCTGTGGGAGACATGAGGTGCACGTGCCCCCTGGATTTGTGTGTGGGGTGAGGGCGGGCTTCTTGCTGGGGGCTGTGCCAGCCTCTTCCTTGCAGGGGTGCTGGGCTGGGGCTGTGCTCGGGGCGGGTGGCAGGGGAGCTACAGGGGTGGAGAGGGATGGGCTGCAGCCACCTCAGTTTGCCATAGCCATTGTCCCAGCACCAACGCCGCCCACCCAGAGCACAGCCCTGACCCAGCCCCTCTGCCAGGAAGAGGCCAGTGCAGCCCCTGGCCCCAAGCCTGAACTGGGCAGCCTGCTTTCGCTCCATGCACAAATCTGGGAGGCACATGCCACCCATGTGTCCTCTGATGGTGCGTGCAGCGGCCGGGAGTTGCCTGTGGCTCCATCCTGCCCACGGCTCCATCCCACCCTGCCCCTGTTGGGCAGCCCCTGTCCCCCGTCCCAGCCTTCACTCCCTCCTTCACTGTGGAGGCCTTGATCTGCCTCCCCCACAGACTTACCGATGGATGCTGCTTTCCAAGCTGCTGGGCTGTATTCCTGACTGTGTGCATGCTGCGGCTGCGCATGTACATGCAACATTTACCGGTGACATTATCAGCCTTATCAGTCAAAACCCGATTGCCGATGGTGTCAATTTGCCTTTTAATGGTGCTAATATGGTATGGACTGATATTGGGGTACCTCTAACTACAAACCTAACATAAATCATCACTAAGACTGTAATTAGCATTTAAAAACAATCCACAATGGATTATCTTGGATATGCCCTCTAATCATGTATACACAAGCATTACATTCAACATGTACAGATATAAAAGTGATTCATAATTGCATCTATTTGTTAAAGTGTGTAGACTTGGCCACTGGTGTCTCTAGACTGCACAGCTTTCATGTAGAATGTTGTCCTTTTTGTAATGCTGTATTCACTTTGTCATTTGAATAAATTGAATGTTCAAGAAAAGTTGCAGTTTCAAATATTCTTAATTCAACAAGCAGGGGCTCATGCTGGTAGAATTTTTCAAGTATGTTTGGAGCTATTTATTAGTGTGTTCACACTGTTTGGCATAATGGAAGTTGAGTCGATAGATTTCTGAACTGAAGTGCACTGTATTGACAAAATTGTTCTAACTTCCTAGGCAGGAATAAGGCAAAGCACTCTTTGCTTTGCTGAATAATTATATTTTACCAAGATGCTGTGTTCCGTTGATGAATAACAGACATTCATATAATTTTTAATTGGGTTCCAGACTGAACAACTTGCTTTCCTTCAAGTGGATGCCAAAGTGTAGCTTAAGCAGGAGGAAGATTTGTAAGTCAACCATTAACTGCCCTGGCTTAGTTAGGAAGAAATCTTTTCTTGGGCAGAATTATTGCATAATATTAGAACTTCCAATACATTAATTGGAGACTCTTGTTTTGGCCACCATGGGAAGAGGATTCTAGTCTTGGCAAATGCGAGACTGTCCTTAGGCTAGTACTGACTAAGAAGAGTCTCACATTGTGACCAGAGGGAGAGGTTTTAGCCAGCCAAAGGAACGGCTCTTCTGTATTTACCCTCGTGTATCAGTCTGGTTCTCTTACTACTCCATTTCAAGAATGGGCATGAAGAACATGGTGTGTATAAATGAAAAGATTAGACTATTGAAGCTTTCATTGTCTTGAATCTATTTGACTCTTGTGTTTTACATGAATACCTAAAATGTAGTTTGTTAGTCATAAAACTTCCTAAATAACTACTTGGGAATCATCTTAGATATTTGCTATAGTGTAGCACTTCTTAAATTAGGAATTTGCTTGCTATTATCTGAAAAAATATTATTTCTTAAAGGAGTAACTTACAAATGCTAACTTGTGAGTTAAAGTATTTGTGAATTTTTAGAAAATGGTCTATACTTGGAGAAATGCTGTAATTCTTCAAGGATAAATACTCTCATTCGTACTTGTAGTGGGTGACAACTTATTCCATTAGTTCTATCTAACTCTGTGACTTTGTGGGGACTATACGTGCAGTATGGTGCTCCTCTCTCTGACTAAATCTCTTATAGTATCTAAGCATCATAGTTTTTAAACATTTTTTTGCAATATCCTTGAAAGGCAGGAAAGTACCATTTCCCTGACTTTTAAAAATAGGAGCCTGAAATGTAGAGACTAAGAATTTTGTTCAAACTTGCAAAGATAGGACTTGAAGTTCTAGGTTAGTGCTGTAATTGCTAGACCACCTGTCCTTACTATAGAAAAACACCCTTAAATGTCAGTACAGCTTCTATGCCCCCATAACCTGTTATAGAGGGAAATTTTAAGTGCATACATTTTAAATGAATAAAAATCATGGTGATCTGTTTGTGATTTATCTATTTTTTTTTTTAAAGATAAAGCTACTGTTTTAGACTGAGTAACAAAAGTTCATCATAACTTCTGTTGGTTGTTCCACAGCTCCTATGTTGGAGGAGGTACAGTTGGTCATTCTGAGCGTCTCCTACTTATTTCTCCCACAGCTTCCTCAACCACTCATAGATTCCCATATTAATGCATCACTTTCTAGTTAATGCATGGTGGCTGACAAACAGATGATTAATGATTTTATTTTTAACAGCAAAGTGTGGTCATTGGCTGTTTCGTGATAGCGTGTGTGTTTTGGTGGGGGAGAACAGAGTTCTCTAAACGAGCAGTTCTCAACCTTTTGGGATTTGAGGCATCCCTCCATAATTTTTGTCAATTAAGTGGCATCCAACTTCAAAAATAAATTTTGTTTATATATTGCAGTGCTTACCTCCTTAGATCAGTGCATCTAGTGTGGTCTGTCTGTCTGTCTGTAGGATTAGATAACCTCTGGAGGTTCCTTCCACCCTTAGTTCTCTGTGATTTTTATGAATTGTGTAACAGGAAGAGAAGGGTAAATGAAGAAAGTGGGGAAAATGAAAAAAAAATCCTTTACTGTGTGTGTGTGTGTGTGTGTGTGTGTGTGTGTGTGATTTTTTTTTTTTTTTTTTAAATGTGCTGTAGTGGTTACACTGCAATAGTGATACACAATGCGTTTTAATGATCCATTATGTAGAATCATAAGTGCACAACAATATGACAGCATTAAAAGTATGCCTCTCAAAGTTTTTAAAACCTCTTCATTGGGTGAATACAAAGATTACATTTCATGTTGAAAGATGAGGACTGTTTTTTTGTTTTGTGAGCAAGGGTATATTTTGTATCACTGCATCTCTTGAACTGAGCATAACACCTAACACTTGAGAGTTTCCTCTGTGGGATAGCTTGTTCCTGAAAAGTAGTTCTTGATGATCCAAATTCTGTTCTGTGGGTGCCACAGAGGGACTGCTTTTTGTTGGCTTTTTCTCATTTTAAAGATCATTTCCTCCTTTCCCACTTACACGTTCTTTATTTTCATTTAATTTACTTTGTTGTATTAGAACCTGGGGAGGAGTAAAGACCTGTTAAGGAGACTTGGGGTTAGCTTTTCTCTTAGGAAGGTTTTTATGAAATATACTTCACCAGATGAAAGCTAACATATTACTAAGTTTTGTTTTGTTTTTTATTATGTTCATTTTAGAAATAGTTGTGGTGGTGTGGGTTGCTCTTGCTTGCTGCTTGATTACATAAACCTCTTTCTATTGTGAATTAGCTACAATTTGCCTGTATGTTAACATGAAATATTTGATAGAAATATGAAAATGGAGGGCACCTTTTAAGAAGTCGCCCAACGCAACTGTGTACAGTGACCCTGCCTTAGAAATATTTCTCAAGTGTTAATATATGCAGTATTTGTACTTAAACACAGATGCTTTTTTCAATTGCATAACATCCTTGTACCAATAGCAGGTCATTCATCATAATGAGGTCTTTCGTGATTTTAAAATAAAAAAAAATGAAACTCCTAACTTGTTCACACGATCCATTTTTCCTGTTTCAACCTCTCTTCTGTGTGTGTATGCACACACATGGCATTTTCCCCTTATGATGGTAAACAGTAGTGGTGCACCAATAAAGATTTTCTTGGCTGATACAGATAGCTGATTATTAATCGGCCAGTGCTGGTCCAATTAACTGATTTAGCGGAATGCAGCCTGGCAGCTTGGAGAGCAGTGCCTTGCCAGTAAGTTGGGGGGGGGGGGCAGATTGAGGCCCCACACAGTGAGGGAGGGAGTGGGGCAGGGGCAGGTGCTACCCAACCAATTCAGTAAATGGGATGCCGGGGTCAGGACCAGGATGGAGCTGTGGGTGGCTTGTCGTGGGGGTGAGGAGGAGGGCAGTTCCCCACCCCTGTGTGCACCCCAAGAAAGGCATGGGGACATGTTGTGTGTCTCCCCCCCCCCCCGATATGTGTGGGGTCAGAGTTAAGTTGCCTACTGCAGGCTTGGGGTCAGGGGCTGGACCAGCCTCTTTCTGGCAGGGGGTCTGGGCTGGGGCTATGCTAAGAGCAGGTGGGGGCAGGGCAGGCTCAGCTGCACAGGGTGTGTGGTAGCAATGCTGGGTGGGGGAGGGCTATGGGAAATTTTGGAGTGGCTGTAGCCTCCTCTAGCGCTGTCCCTGCTGCTTTTCCCTCAGGAGCCCTGGTGCCCTGAGCAGGGGCCGTACTAGGGGAGACTTGCGGGGTTAAGCAC